GCTTTGCAAACTGTAATGTTCCTCTCAGAGGATAAAGTGTTACCACATTTGTATTGTTTATCTCCCTCTCATGATTATCGACTAAAGGAAAAATACCAGACAGGCTGAGACTGCTGTCAGACGTGGCATTCGAAGCCCCCTGTTGCTGGTGGGGTTGCGACCTGCTTCCCTTCCTGTGACCTGGCTGGCCTACGCAGGGTAGGGCCGTGACTGATGACTTTGTTGGGTTTTGATGACATCCAGTCTATTCTTAGGCCTTTTAAGCATCTCAGACAGGTCCAGCTATTGATCTCACGAAAATTACATCCTGTTTTCTCTCAGATAAAGGACCTTGTCTCGACCTCAGTGAAGGTATTTTAGACATTTATTACAATTAGAAGACAAAATACCACCTTAAAATTAATTGTGTAATTAACGCATGTACACGAAGCAGGATGTTTGGGAGACGGTTTCTCTTGAAAACATCATCTAGAAGATGTGAAGCATGACCCACATACTCCCTTCCCCCAGCTCTCATCAGCATCTTTTTCCACACTGGGTGTGTTTACTAGGAAACGTCATTTGCTGGCTGTTTCTCGTCAGGCACTCTGCGTCGGCCCGGGGTGTCATCTAGGCATTCTCTGAGACAAGGGCGAGTAAATCATCCCAAATCACCCACTGGCATCAGCCTGGGAGCCTGGTCTCCTCTGGGGTTCTCTGTCTACCTCCTGCATCTCAGAAGAGCTACTTTTAGCTAGCCTCGTTTATCGCCAGAGGGCCTAGAATATCTCAGGACAGACAGACATTTACCTGTTTAAATAGGACTGAAACTACTTTCCCTCACTTTCCAGGAATTGCCTTTTTACAGCAAGGAGCACGGCTGCAGAGCCCGAAGGACTGGGTGCGTCATCACAGCCGTCACGGGATTTCAGATGCCTTGCCCCGGATGCGCCGCAGGGGCTGGAGCAGCAGTCTGCTTCATCAGGGCGGCGGGCTGTGCACGTGACGGTCCCTTCCTGGGGGAGGGTGGGCAGGAGGGCGCTCAAGTGGGCTCTTCATCTGCAGAAAGCGATTCAGAGCCAGTGGCCCCCTGATGTTCCCAGGGACTCGGCTGAGGGCGCCCCGAGCACATGCAGCCTCTGTTCACCACTCAGGTGCCCAGCACAGATGGACCAGGGCCACGCTGGGGAGGGGTGGGCTGGGAGGCAGGCTTGTTTGGAGGCTGTGTGCTGGTGCCTGGCACCTTTCCCCATGGAGAAAGAGTGATGGCTGTGGATGTCACTTCTCCGCCCACCAGCCAGGCCCACCTGTGTGCATGTGTGCACCTGTGTGTGTGTGAATCAGAACTCCCTTTCGGACAAGCAGGGGCAGGTGACTGGGCTGTTGCACACTACATAGACCTGTGCGTGAGGTCCAGGGGCCGTAAACAACCTGGGGTGGTTGGTCACCTTGTATTCAGCATCCTTGGGGTCCAGCGGGGGTGAGCGCATGAGCAGAGGTGGGCGTGCTCTTGGGCATCGTGGCCTTGAGGTGCAGGGACCGTGGGAGAGATGAAAACTGCAGATCCTGGGAGGGTCTAGCTCTCTCCCCTCGTGGACGTCGGGGAGAAGCCATCCAAGGGTTTTAAGCAGGGGCGTGACCAGGTCACATTCGGATTTTAAAACAATTCAGTCTGGAGTCAGGATGGAGAGTGGTTTGGAGAGTGTTAGTCCAGTAAAGAACCAGTGTGCAAATGAGAACGTCCGTTCTGTGTGTAACGAGACGTGTGGGGCCGGACGGCTCCAGGGCTGGATCTGTGGCGCAGCTTTGTCTTCACAGCCCCAGGAGCCATCTTCCCCTTCGTGACCCTCGTTGACCTGGTGTTTGGCTCGACCTCTTGTCATCGCCGGTGGCTGCCTGAGTCTCAGGCAGTGGACGTAGCGATGCCCAGCTGAAGGAGACTATTCCCAGAAGCCCCCAGGCAGACCTCTGCCCAAACCCCGTTGGCCACGCTGACATCCTGTTGCCCCAGCTGCTGGGTCAGCTGGAGCAGCACTCGCGCTGGGATTGGGGTGCTGGTGGGGGGGGGGGAAGCAAAGACACTAATAGGAACTATGGTGACGTTAGGATGACGGATGAGTTCTTATCCAGCCCTCTCTCCACCTGGGCCAACCCAGGTCTCTGTTGGCTTTTAATCTTCCAGACTTTCATCCACTCTGGCTCACCGTCCATGCGCACCCCGTTCTGCGTGCGTTCTTGTCATGTGCTGCCTGGGGCTGGTCCAGGTGCGGCCTGTCCAGCGCCGGGTGTGGGAGGGGTGGGCCGCGACCACCGCAGCTGCTGCTCACTCTTCAGGCTCACGTGGCTTCGTGGTGATTCATGCTGTTATGTTGAGCTGTAATTCTCAGGCCTTCCCTCTGTGTGAACATAACCATTCCTGCCGTGTCACCCACATATTGAATTATATCCCGTGGCAAATTCTTTTATAAAATGAAGCATCATTTAAAAAGCAAAAAAAAAAAAAAAAAATCCCATAATATGTCGTTTCTACCTCTTTATAGCATCTGTTATGTTCTGTTAAAGTTATTTATGCGTGTGTGTCACCCAGTATGTAGGCCATAAAAAGAACTCCTGTGACTCTGACAATTTGTAGACCTTTTGAAATGTTTTTATTATAGCCATTAAACAGCAAAATAAAATGAAACAGAAACCGCCACCAGGAAGTTTTATGCAAATCAGACATCACAGAAAGTGGCACCAGCCGCAACTTTGGGGGTCACTTGTTTTGCCCATTCTTTAGCATTTTGGGGCCGTCACGTTCTTCACAGGATGGACATCCGTGACGGTCCTTGGCTTTTCCTCGTTGGCTGCACAGTGACCTCAGTTCTGTCTGACTGATGGGCTCATCTGCTAATGTTTCTTTCCAGTTCAGGGTTGACATGTTTGCTGTTGACACTGATTATATGGCTAAGGACCTTTTCCAGTCGATTCGTAGAACTCCATAAGTTTCCACCAGGTCTGAGAATGTTCCCAGCACCTGCGTTATGAGAACAAGCACCCAAAGCCCTTGATTTGTAGAGCATAGAAAAGTAGAGCATTCGCTTTGGTCAGCCTGCTTTAGCCAGGTCCTTCCCCTGCCTCGTCCTGAGAGACTTTTCCTTGAACCAGTCTTCCCAGGACCTGGTGCTTCTCCATTTCCTCTTCCCTTCAGGCGTTGGTCGGTAGTTGATGTGCGGGTCTCCCTGAGGGTGGGCTTCAATCACGGTTGCCTCAGGCTGTCTCCCTTTGGTTTCTCCCATTTCTCCGGCTTCTGCCTTATCACTGCATGCTTCTGGCTTCGCCTCCCTGCTAATTCTAGCGCTTCCCAAGCCCCCATGGCCCACCTGTCGTGTGCGTGTCCTGCAGCCATGCACCCACTCCCCACTCATCTCTGACAAAGGCTCACGTGGAATCACCTGTTCTTTCTACTTGTCGTAAGGTTCTGAGGAAGAGACCTTCGGCAGGTTATTTCAGGTTCGTGGCTGTGATTCTAAGAGAGAGAAGAGTCCTCTTCCTTCCTCCCCCGTTTCCTTCTGGCTTAGGAATCTGGAGTCACATGCATTCACGACCTTGCCGGCGTCTTTAGTCTTCACTCTGGTATCAAAGCGTTTCTTCCTCCTCGGGCTAAACCAGGTTTAGCTATGTGAATTAGCTGTTGGACTGTGGTGTGTTTGAATGTCTTCTGAACCCAATCAGTTCATCCTCCCGAGCGGTGACAGGTGTTTAAAGCACAGGTTCAGCCCAGCCTTGCCCCCGCTGGAGGTGCTTCAGCGGCTCACCGTCGCCCTCCGCAGCGGCAGGGGCGAGGCGGGTCACAGGCGGCCTTGGCATGTTTTGCTGGGCTTCCCCGTCGTTTTAAGAAATTTTAGGTCAGAGTCAACCCTGAAAAAAATCAGAGTTCATGTAAAAGTCTGGATTTCCAGTTTCCCTTTGAACAGTGAAAATATTTGGCAACTGTTTCATGACCTGCAAGGCAGCCCTGGCTGGAGCCGGGACCTGTGCACTGTCACCTGAGCCCCACGTGACCAGCACCATTCACTTGTGCTACTCGACCGGTCACTGCGAGCATTAGAGCGTCAGCCTTGGCGCTCACCGACGGAAGATTCCAGACTTCTCGTGGCATTGCAGGCCGTCTAGGACTGGCTTTTACTCACTCCACTGGTTTTGTTTCTGCCTCCCTGCTTCTTCATGGAGTTGGCCAGGCAGGGGGCTCGGCCCGCGTGCACGCCTGTCCCCGCCCCCCTTCCCTCTGGCGGAGCTCCGTTTTCCCCACGCATCTTCCTCTGCCCCCCGCGTCTTTGGCACTCGTCCCTGCTACCCACGCCCCCAGCCACAGCATCACAGACGCTTGTTTTCTGTGTTTTATGGAAGGGTTGGCTCCCCAGTAAGTCTTTTCTGACCTCCCAAGTAGAACCTTCCAGCCCTTCCCAAATTGTCCCAACCCCTTCTCGTTCCAGTTGGCGAACAGTGGACTATGCTTGACCGCACCTGTTTGCATGTCTGTCTCTCCCCACAGACTTCCGGGCCTTTAGGGGCAGGGACCGAGTCTGTGCCTTATCGGTTGTTATGTCCTCCGTACCGGCAAGAAGGTACCTACTGGTTGCGAGCTGAGTACGTGAATGGTTTCTTCTTAGGCTGTAAATCTTGGCGACCGTATCTTCTCCTCAGTGTTGCTTATTAATGACAATGAAGTCTGGTGGGGTTCACGACAAGAGAGGGGCTACGTCTGCTTTATCGACAGTGTGTCCCCAGTGCCTAGATGGTGGCCAGTGACATGTTATTGAAATATTCATTCAATAAATGAATATTTATTGAATCGAATGAAAGACTGAAGAACCAGAGATGACGCCCGAAGTAATATAGTGGCTGTGTCGCTCTGCGGATCAATGTGTATGTCACACCTACATATCTCCTTTACTGCCCCATAAAAGGGTTATGTGCACTCCCCCACTCTGTCACTGCTGTAAAAGGATGTTTTATACATCTTGGTATTTGCTCTTTAGGTAACGAATCTGACCTTGAACTGGAAAAGAAGTTTAAGGAGGAAGATCGAGAAAAGGCCCCGAGGAGACCGCGGACACAGAGAACCGAGAAGGCGCAGAGGACCTCCTCCTCGGGGAAGGAGGCCAGGCAGGCCGCTGGGACAAAGAAACCCATCATAAGTGTGGTCCTGACCGCACATGAAGCTATTCCAGGTGACCACGTCGGGCGGGAAGTGATGAAACGAGCCTCTTTGTGCGAGGCTGTGCCGGGGGCAGCCTGACCCCGTCACCCTGGGCAGCTCGCTCACTGATGGACTCTCGTCGCCCATCAGACTGGGTCAGCGGGGACCTGTGACTGCCCAGGGCGTGTGGGAGATGGAGGAAGGGCAGTGAGGGCCACTCCTGCCGCTGCCCTTGCCACCTGTGCACCCATGACCCGCCCTCATCGGTCCAGTAGCCACCCAGGAGCAGCGGCCGTCCTGAGCGGGAAAGGACCACACAGACCAGCCCGAGGCAGCCGCTTCTCCAAAACCCATGCTGCTCATTAAGTTCCTTCTGCCTGACTTCTTTGCATTTTTAGTGGTTTCATCAAATAGTTTATAATACTGGGAATTTCTGTCTTCCTTTCTGTTCACATAAAATAGCAAGTGGGTATATTATACTACTTTTTCTAAGAAAAATCTGTTCTAGGAGGGGATACCTTAGACTCAAAGCAGTTTATGATAATCTTTTCCAAAGTATAATAATGTTTTCCTATCCATTTGGGGTGATAGGTGTCAAATAAAGTTAAAAAATCGAGTTTAGAATTTTAAAAACAGCTACAACCTTTTAAACATCTATTTCCAATGCTAATAGTAACTCATTATTTAGAATGAAAACGCTGAGTAAATACCTCTTTATGCTTCATTGTTGAGTAAGGTGATAAGTAGAGACTAATACACATAAAATTATGTGACAAGGAGAACTTTCTAGAAGGTCACTTGGCCCTGCCCTTCTTCAGAGTAGTAGTATTCTAGCAAATGAACATCCCAGTGGAGAGGTTCCTGGTCTCAGCTATCTTTAGAAAGAATTTGTACAATAGTTTCTTAAGAATTGATGGTAGTATTTTGAGATTTCTGTGAGTAGGGGTAAACAGTGTAGGTAGTGTCCCATGCTATTTCAGGAACGAGGTAGGTTGGAGCCTTTTCATTAATGCATTTGACGTATACATGTGCACGTGTGTGCACAGTGTTACACGCGCATGAAGTGTCTGCTGCCGTAAACGGTCGTCGATCGTCTTACATCATAGAACTGCACAGGTGAACACGATCTTTGAGTGCCTCACTCCCAGAGGTGGGGAGGTGGTGTCTTGTCTGGGATGGGACCCAGGCTTAGGTGCCTGGTCACCATTGGTTAGTTGGTCCCACTGCTCCATAGTGTCTTGATACCATTTTACATTTATGTAAAGTTTGACACATGTGGTCTCACGTAATACCTTGCAGGTAAACATATGTATGCATGTATTTATATGGTTTTGTTTTGTTAATACATCAAGTGAAAATACACCTCAGGGTGTTTTGATAGATTATTAGAAAACTTGCCCCCAAGTGTGTGCGTGCGCGCGTGCACACACACACAACACTCTCACATGCACAAGTTAAATGTGTGAGCTGAAAGCAGGCTAATAGTGCGCCTGGCTGTCGTACAGCAGAGAAGTGTACTTCCCAGGCTCTGCTCCCTGTGCTGGGGTGGAGTCAGGGCCACCTGTGGTACCTCTTTAATATGCATGCGTTGTGCCTCCATCTCAGGTGCTACCAAGATTGTTCCAGTGGAGGCCGGGCCCCCAGAGATTGGAGCCACAAACCCCGAGGCCACCTCGGCCGACATGGCAACTCGGAGAGGGTACCAGGAGTATGCCATTCAGCAGACACCGTATGAGCAACCCATGAAGTCAAGCAGGTAAAGTGTCTGTTCTATGTGACCCCAGTCAGAGGCTGGACTCCAGTGACCACCACAGAGGGCAAGAGGGCCAGCATGTTCCTTTATCAGGACTCTTGCTTTGTAAAGGGCATTGGTTTGTTGATTTAACCTGAGAATCAGCCCTCCCTCATGGCCATTGGACAGCCCGCAGTGAAGGAGCGTGTGCGTTCTCGCACGCTCCCCGGGGTCTCTGTCTCAGCCGTGATGTGCACCTGCTCAGGTAGATTAGCACACAGCTGCAAACATCTCCCCAGCTAAGAGGGAAAACAAAGGAATTTATGCCAGTTGCCATTGGGTTCCTTCTGTTTCTGAAAGAGGAGAAATGAGGTGTTCTTGAGGAAAGGAAAAAGTTTTAGTGCCACATAGACCTGGGTTGGCTGTAGACTCTTCTAGAGTTCAGCTCAGCAGATTAAACAGCTGTTATGTGCCAGGCACTGGGGATGCGAGAGAGAGACCTGGACAGACACGGCCGCTGCCTGGATGAAGTTTTAACTCTACTGTGACTTGACACAGGCCTCCTTTACACCAGCCGTAAGACTGTCCATTGGAATCTGACTTTGTTTGGTGGTGAGAATGAGTGACAAAATGTATGGGAAGTGTCTGACACATGCTGTGCTCTCATTAGACTATGACATAATATCGTGTGGGTTGCTTCATTAATTTGTAGCCTCAGTCCACTATTCTTGCAAATGTGAGCAACTGAATTTATTGATGAAGTTGTAAAAATGCTCATTCCTTTGGCAAAACTATAATGGAATTAAGTTTGAAGGTCATTCTGGTCTCAGTTCAAGTTGATTTGTAGAACTCAACTAATTATCTTTATAATATTTAAAAGTCTGTTGGGGAGGGGTTCAACTAAATGCTAATCCAGTTACAGGTAAATATGCCCAATATTTAATTAACAGATTGAGGCTGTATTTCTATTGTCATGCATTCTGTTAATATTTTATAGTATTAGTTATAAACTAGTTATGCAAGAGACTTTTTTGCATGCCAATTTCGCATTGTAAAATATAGATACAAACTTTTAGGTTATGGCAGTATGTCAGGTAGGTTATATCAGTTAGGCTCTCATAAAAATATGGTACAGATATGTTATAGAGAAAAGTTTTGAAGTCCAAAAGCTCATTTGTAATCTCAGTACCCTGAGAGAACCACTGTCAATATTGTTAATATGTTTCCTTCCAGCCTTTTGTCAGTCCTGTGTTTCATAAAATTGAGTTTATATTTTATGTACAATTTGTGTCTTGCTTTTAATATTAATCACATTATACTTACTTTCCTTTATTACTCAAATTATTCACAAACACCGTTTTATAGCTGCATGCTGTAACATCATGAGGATATGCTATAATCCACTCAACTCTGGACGTTGCAGCCAATGAGAACTTTGTAAAATGCCCATTTGATGGCACCCCTTAGAGCCTCACGTTGTTGCTAGGAGAACTTGGCCTCCAGGACCTTCCAGGGCTGCCACCTCTCCAGCCTGGTCCCGGTCGCCCTCCTGTGCTCTCTCTGGTTGTCTGGGCTCCAGCTTCTGCTTCAGCCATCTGGGCCCCTTTTTCCTGATCTCTCCTTGTAGGTGCCTCTTCCTCTTCCTGGGTGCCGCCCCTTCCCCGGTCATCCTTCAGCTCTCTGCCAAATGTCCAGTTTGCAGGGCGGCTTGCCCTGCCCCCTAGACAAATTGGTCCTCCCAGACCCGGGCTCTTAGAGCATCTCCCTGTTGGTCTTTATCTGCTTCTTTTTATGGCTGTTAGGCTGGCCTGTCTTTTCTCTGGGAGGTGAGTTTAGAGAGCGTGAGTTGTGTTTTTATCCCTATTGTATCTCCAGTGCCTGGATTTCTTTGAATGAATGAGTGAGTGAAAAAAGGTGCACAGTAGTTCCCGCTATTGTAACCTTCAAACAGCTCCCTGCTCTTATCTATTGTGAGAAATAGTGCGATGAGCACCTTCACTCAAATTTTGTATTCATTCTTTTGGATAGATTCCCAGAATTGGAATAACTGAATCAAGGAGTCTGGCCTTTTAAGCTGATTGCCTGATTGCTTTCTATAATGCAATAGATGAGGGTCCTCTCACACTGAATAAAAAGCATTTGAGTAAAGTAATCCAATAGGAATTATTTGGACCTTGCGTCTCTGTGCATCAGTTCAGTCTTAAAAAGCATTTGAGTAAAGTAATCCAATAGGAATTATTTGGACCTTGTGTCTCTGTGCATCAGTTCAGTCTTAGTGACTGGCACTTGAGTCAGGTGTTGGCTGCTTGGCCTTTTCATCAGATTCATCCCCCTGGGTGGGAGGCAGGGCGCTGAGGACTTTGTTAGGTATTTATCTAATAATACACAAAAAAAAGAGCAACAGAGTTTTTCCTAAGACCATTTAGATCTTGCACTGGAGAAGGAACTATCGCAATGTGTTTATTTAGCTAACGTTATGAATCCAGGTTTTCTTTCTTTGGTGTTCTTTATACCAATAAAATGTATTGCCTACTGGATATCTTCATTGTTTGAGAAAGATCCAAATTAGTTTTCTTAAATTCACCTTGGGTTTAACACGCAGGCATACCAGTAACTTTTCACATTTGAATATTTTAATTACATCATGTGAATTATACCCTCTGGTGTTTATGGACTGCATTTCATTAAAATATTTTAATCGAAGGACAAGGCACCCTGTGTTGATCCAGCGCAGTTCTGTGGACAGTTCCATAAGTGTGACCGTGCAGTAGAGTGGGCGTGTCTCGTGGCATCCGATCCGCAGCACCACGTGGCTGTTGGTGTTTGTGAGGGCTCCCTCGGAGAACCCGGACACATGTCCGGCAGGAGCAGTTACAGAAGAGAGGGTGCCTCGCTCGCCTCTTGGGCTCACCTGCCAATTCCTGTCCCCAGTGACTCGTTTGTTGATTTCAGAAACAAGGGGTGACTGTTCCCACAGCATTGGAAGCCCCATGTGAACGGTCTCACTGGGGAGCGGGTTGGTGTGCACGGTGTTTTCAGGCAGCTTAGAAGTGTGCAGGCTCTGGAGGCAGGCAGGCCATGCGGGTTCAAATTCTGGCTCCGCCACTTACTAATCGTGTGACCTTGGGCAAATGCTCAGTTTTCTCATCTGTAAAATTGGTATAGTACTAGGGTTAGGATTCAATGCTTAGCATAGAGTTTATGGTGCGCTAAGTACTGAATAGTTGTTAGCTATTATTACTACCATCTCCTTCAGCGTACCCACTGCCATATTGAAAGAGAAAGGATCACGAGCAAATCATGCTTTTATTCTCCAGCACATACGTGAAATCTAACACAGTGCCTGAAACACATTGGCAGGTGTTAATAAATGAATCATTTATTAATAAATGTCATATGTTTGACGTTAGTATTTGACAACTGAACAACAATCTAATTTACCCTGAGTTCAAAACCACTCGTGCCAGAGGAAGAGGAAGACAGAGATTCAGACATCGGCTCTGTCACTGATAGAGCCGAGGAGGAAATAGTGTGGCGCACTGTTTCCTGTGTGCCACCTGTGACCCGTGACTGCACTGCAGAACCAGACAGCCGACCACCCCCACCTGCAGTCCTTGACCTCTGCTGGCCAGGCTCATGGATGCCCACGTAGCTAAGAGCTGACCACATCCTGTGCTGTCCACGGGCAGACACATCCTCACCAGGTAGGGAAAAGTGAGCTCAGCTCGTGAAGACTTATCAGATATATCACTTCACTTTTCCTGGAAAGAAGTGAGGCCATGGAGAAAGGCCAGGGGTCTTTCACTAACGGGTGGCCCTCACATGGGAACTTGAACCCAAGAGAAAGGCTGTCACCCCTGACGGCTGGTTGAGTGAATAGTCAGGTCTGGGTCACTGAAGCTATTGTGCAAAGCCACACAGATTGAGTGTAGTCTCACGGAGCAGACTGAGTTCAGTCCATGAAGTCCGGTTCCGTTAAAATACCCCGGAACACATACCAGTCAGCTTGGGAACATGGCCGGTTACTGTGTACGTGTGGACACACGTCCCTCTTCCCTCTTCCTCTGCTCACCTGCCTCGTCCTGCACGTCGACTCAGACATCGCTTCTTCAGTGAGTTTCCCAACCCCCTTAATCCAGGCTAGATGTCCCTCCGTCTCTTTACTCTGCACGTATCCCTGTCACCTCTTGCCGCACGGCCATGCTGCCACGTGCCAACCTGCATTTTCTCCCCCAGGTATTTGTGTGTGCCGGGTCCGGACCAGGTCCTCCGGTCCCGTGTGTGGATGAGTGACTGCCTCCATCCTCCCTCAGTCCCTTTTGGTTCACTTTTGAGCCTTTCGTGTTTGGTGCACAGGGAGGAATTCGAGGTCATTAAAACTGTGCAGTCTCCAGCTGTAACGGTGCTGTCATCTGTTTCCAGGCTAGGGCCCACCCAGCTCAAGATCTTCACCTGTGAGTACTGCAACAAGGTCTTCAAGTTCAAGCACTCGCTGCAGGCCCACCTGCGGATCCACACCAACGAGAAGCCGTACAAGTGCCCGCAGTGCAGCTACGCCAGCGCCATCAAGGCCAACCTGAACGTGCACCTGCGCAAGCACACCGGTGAGAAGTTCTCCTGCGACTACTGCGCGTTCACCTGCCTGAGCAAGGGCCACCTCAAGGTGCACATCGAGCGGGTGCACAAGAAGATCAAGCAGCACTGCCGCTTCTGCAAGAAGAAGTACTCCGACGTCAAGAACCTCATCAAGCACATCCGCGACGTGCACGACCCTCAGGACAAGAAGGTCCAGGAGGCCTTGGACGAGCTCTGCCTGATGACGCGCGAGGGCAAGCGGCAGCTGCTCTACGACTGCCACATCTGTGAGCGCAAGTTCAAGAACGAGCTGGACCGGGACCGCCACATGCTGGTCCACGGTGACAAGTGGCCTTTCGCCTGCGAGCTGTGCGGCCACGGGGCCACCAAGTACCAGGCGCTGGAGCTGCACGTGAGGAAGCACCCGTTCGTGTACGTGTGCGCCGTCTGCCTGAGGACGTTCGTCAGCACCATCCGGCTGCGCGCACACATCGGGGAGGCGCACAGCGCCGCGCCCGAGGCCGCGGTGTTCGCCAGCTCCATCAACCAGAGCTTCTGCCTCCTGGAGCCCGGGGGCGACATCCAGCAGGAGGCCCTGGGGGGCCAGCTGCAGCTGGCGGAGGAGGAGTTTGTGTTCCAGGGGGTGAACGCCCAGGAGGCGGC